GAGGGAGACACGGGGACAGGGAGACACGGGGGCAGGGAGGGAGACACGGGGACAGGGAGACACGGGGGCAGGGAGGGAGACACGGGGGCAGGGAGGGAGACACGGGGACAGGGAGACACGGGGACAGGGAGACACGGCGACAGGGAGACACGGGGAGAGACACGGGGGCAGGGAGACACGGGGACAGGGAGACACGGGGACGGGGAGACACGGGGACGGGGAGACAGACACGGGGACAGGGAGACAGACACGGGGACAGGGAGACAGACACGGGGACAGGGAGACAGACACGGGGACAGGGAGACAGACACGGGGACAGGGAGACAGACACGGGGACAGGGAGACAGACACGGGGACAGGGAGACAGACACGGGGACAGGGAGACAGACACGGGGACAGGGAGACAGACACGGGGACAGGGAGACAGACACGGGGACAGGGAGACACGGGGACAGGGAGACACGGGGACAGGGAGACACGGGGACAGGGAGACACGGGGACAGGAAGACACGGGGACAGGGAGACACGGGGACAGGGAGGGAGACACGGGGACAGGGAGACACGGGGACAGGGAGGGAGACACAGGGATGGGGAGACACGGGGACAGTGAGACACGGGGGCAGGGAGGGAGACACGGGGACAGGGAGACACGGGGGCAGGGAGGGAGACACGGGGACAGGGAGACACGGGGGCAGGGAGGGAGACACGGGGGCAGGGAGGGAGACACGGGGGCAGGGAGGGAGACACGGGGACAGGGAGACACGGCGACAGGGAGACACGGGGAGAGACACGGGGGCAGGGAGACACGGGGACAGGGAGACAGACACGGGGACAGGGAGACAGACACGGGGACAGGGAGACAGACACGGGGACAGGGAGACAGACACGGGGACAGGGAGACAGACACGGGGACAGGGAGACAGACACGGGGACAGGGAGACAGACACGGGGACAGGGAGACAGACACGGGGACAGGGAGACAGACACGGGGACAGGGAGACAGACACGGGGACAGGGAGACAGACACGGGGACAGGGAGACAGACACGGGGACAGGGAGACAGACACGGGGACAGGGAGACAGACACGGGGACAGGGATGGGGAGACACGGGGACAGTGAGACACGGGGGCAGGGAGACACGGGGACAGGGAGGGAGACACGGGGACAGACAGACACGGGGACAGACAGACACGGGGACAGACAGACACGGGGACAGACAGACACGGGGACAGACAGACACGGGGACAGACAGACACGGGGACAGACAGACACGGGGACAGACAGACACGGGGACAGACAGACACGGGGACAGGAAGACACGGGGACAGGGAGACACACAAGGGGACAGGGAGACACGGGGACACGGGGACAGGGAGACACGGGGACAGGGAGACAGACACGGGGACAGGGAGACAGACACGGGGACAGGGAGACAGACACGGGGACAGGGAGACAGACACGGGGACAGGGAGACAGACACGGGGACAGGGAGACAGACACGGGGACAGGGAGACAGACACGGGGACAGGGAGACAGACGCGGGGACAGGGAGACAGACGCGGGGACAGGGAGACAGACGCGGGGACAGGGAGACAGACGCGGGGACAGGGAGACAGACGCGGGGACAGGGAGACAGACGCGGGGACAGGGAGACAGACGCGGGGACAGGGAGACAGACGCGGGGACAGGGAGACAGACGCGGGGACAGGGAGACAGACGCGGGGACAGGGAGACAGAGCGGGGACAGGGAGACAGACACGGGGACAGGGAGACAGACACGGGGACAGGGAGACAGACACGGGGACAGGGAGACAGACACGGGGACAGGGAGACAGACACGGGGACAGGGAGACAGACACGGGGACAGGGAGACAGACACGGGGACAGGAGACAGACACGGGGACAGGGAGACAGACACGGGGACAGGGAGACAGACACGGGGACAGGGAGACAGACACGGGGACAGGGAGACAGACACGGGGACAGGGAGACAGACACGGGGACAGGGAGACAGACACGGGGACAGGGAGACAGACACGGGGACAGGGAGACAGACACGGGGACAGGGAGACAGACACGGGGACAGGGAGACAGACACGGGGACAGGGAGACAGACACGGGGACAGGGAGACAGACACGGGGACAGGGAGACAGACACGGGGACAGGGAGACAGACACGGGGACAGGGAGACAGACACGGGGACAGGGAGACAGACACGGGGACAGGGAGACAGACACGGGGACAGGGAGACAGACACGGGGACAGGGAGACAGACACGGGGACAGGGAGACAGACACGGGGACAGGGAGACAGACACGGGGACAGGGAGACAGACACGGGGACAGGGAGACAGACACGGGGACAGGGAGACAGACACGGGGACAGGGAGACAGACACGGGGACAGGGAGACAGACACGGGGACAGGGAGACAGACACGGGGACAGGGAGACAGACACGGGGACAGGGAGACAGACACGGGGACAGGGAGACAGACACGGGGACAGGGAGACAGACACGGGGACAGGGAGACAGACACGGGGACAGGGAGACAGACACGGGGACAGGGAGACAGACACGGGGACAGGGAGACAGACACGGGGACAGGGAGACAGACACGGGGACAGGGAGACAGACACGGGGACAGGGAGACAGACACGGGACAGGGAGACAGACACGGGACAGGGAGACAGACACGGGGACAGGGAGACAGACACGGGGACAGGGAGACAGACACGGGGACAGGGAGACAGACACGGGGACAGGGAGACAGACACGGGGACAGGGAGACAGACACGGGGACAGGGAGACAGACACGGGGACAGGGAGACAGACACTGGGACAGGGAGACACGGGGAGATGTACGCGGATATGGCTGCTGTGTACGCGTGACCCGTGCCACCCACCCCGCCCCCCACCAACCACCCCGCCCCCCACCAACCACCCCCCCCCCCCCCCCCCCGTGTCTGGGACGCGGAAGTGAGAGTGAGTGGGGGGCCCCATACCTGCGGGGTCGGGGGAGTCGCGTTCATGGAGCCGCCGGGGCCGCCTCTCGCTGCGCGGGGGTCACGGGGGGCTCCCTCGGCCTCCCGGGGGCGGGGGGGGCAGAAGCAGTAGAGGAGGGCGGCAGGGGAAGGGGCCTGTGCAGGCCGGGAAGACAAAGGCGGCTCCGCTCAGTCAGCTGAGCGATCAGCTGAGCTGACGGCGCGAGAGCGTTGCGGTTGGCGGTGACGTCATGCGGGGCGGGTGGGCAGAAGGGCGGGGGCGGTTGGCGGTGACGTCATGGGGGCGGGGCGACCCCACGTGGCGCGAGGTCGTCACGAGGCCCCGTGGTGGTGGCCGTGGCCGCCCCTGGCACCACCACCAACACATCCATGGCGCGGCAGGCGCCACCTCGCGACAGAGCCGCCTCGTGGGTGAAGGCGGCCTCTCGGCCTGCGGTCGACTTCCTCCATCCGTCACCGCCCGTGACCATGGGCGACCGCCCCCCCTGTGGCCCTGAACCCGTGCCCCTCTCATCCCCACCACGTGCCCCTCTCGTCCCCACCACGTGCCCGTCTCATCCCCACCACGTGCCCCTCTCATCCCCACCACGTGCCCCTCTCATCCCCACCACGTGCCCCTCTCATCCCCACCACGTGCCCCTCTCATCCCCACCACGTGCCCCTCTCATCCCCACCACGTGCCCGTCTCATCCCCACCACGTGCCCCTCTCATCCCCACCACGTGCCCGTCTCGTCCCCATGATGTGCCCCTCCCGCCTTGCGTCGCTCTCGACGGGCAATCCCGGCCTGGGTCTGTCCACGCTTCTTTGCACACTTTGCGGTTTTTTTATGCGCCACATGTCCCGTGAAGGACCACGCGTGTTCTGAGCGACGCGTCACAGCAGGCAGGACGCGCTGATTAAACTCGTCATTGCTCCATTAATTATCATAACTAATAATGTTCGCTGCTGGATGAAGGCCTTTCCACGCCGTGCCGGTCATGTTTTTTTTACCATACTTCACCACACTGGTCAATCGGGATCGGTGAAGTGGGGGGGGGGGGGCATGAGCAGGTTCTGATCTCGATCTGTGCTGGCCGTGGCCGGGAGTCGGGTCAGAGCGCAGTGCACTAACCACTGTACCACCGCTCCACGCATTTCCAAGTTAAAATTACATCCATACAATATGTTGTAGTAAAGATAAATACAGAGTATATAACATGTATAACCGACGTTCACATTGGTCGTCATCAGTCGGCATGGCGAGCGGGGACTGATATCTGCGTATTGGCCGGATGGAGATTACAAAAGCACTTTCGGTCGCCCAATCTGCGGCCCCCTTGACCTTCCTGCGCACCGGATGGTTTACTTGAGCCCAATACTTGAGCTGCATCATCATGCCAAGGCCATGTTCTATCCACTGCAATCTCTCTCACGGTCCTTGGATATAAATAAGTAATATTTTAAAATACTTTTTTAAAACACGCTTTAATGAAATGTACCGTACTCGTAATGGCAAAACTCCACGACTCCAGGAAGTGGCCCCGAGGCTTGCCACAGCGTAAGGGGCCGTGGTGATTTACGGTCAACGTCAGTTGAGCGTGGACAATTAGAACCAAGCCGAAACATAACATATAAAAAAGATGGTTTAATATTTTTTTCTATTTTAATGATAAAATATAGTATTGTCATCTGTATGACATAAGTATACCAAGTTTGCAGTCGATACCACATTGGGAAGTGGGTTAAAATTGAGCTACAAGATTTGAGGATATGACAACAACAACAGATTTCGATTTAAAGCTTTCGTGACTGCAGGGATTCATCTTCTTTGTTCTTTCGCTAAAGTCACGTAGAAGGGAAATAATAAAATAAAAATAAAACATAATAAAATACAATTCTCACGACGTTTTGGCCACAACGCAAGCAGCCGTCCTCAGGTGAAGAACAGGTCTGTCGGAAAGACATTCAGACGCTCCTTTGTCACTCCGTCGTTGGTTTTGGCCAGCAGCCATCGTCTCCCTGTCCGTCACGGTCAGCGCGACGTCTCCTCCTCGTGAGCTCTCTACTCCACGTGCCTCCTCTTCCTGTCTCTCGGTGTGAGGCCACGCGTGCACCACGCATCCATAACTTATTTGCGCACTTGTCAGTTCGAGTTGTAGTTTGAGCGTTCGCGTTGTCTTTGCTGTGCGTCATTGCAGGCAACGTACAATGATTAAAAACACGAGAATGTCTTCTGCTTGTCGCTGACCTTTATTGCCAACGTCGAGATAATATTGAACACAATATATCGTGGGTGGCGGGGGGATTTCCGCGTATCCATTTGGGCCGCATTAACGTACCAACAGTCACCTAACCCCCCCCCCCCCCTTCAAAAGTAAGTATATTTACAACTTCATAACGATTGATAGTTTTTTTTATTGGGGGGAGAGTGGCCAGGACGGAACGATCTGGCCAAAGCCGTGCATACCGCTAAGAACCCTCCACCACCCGACACAGCCAAACACGAGACGACGTCAAGCGGTGTTCGGAGCGATGATGGGGAGACGCGCCAAGTGTGTCAGCAGGGTGCGTGGGGTGAGTGGGTGGGGTGAGTGTGTGGGGTGAGTGTGTGGGGTGAGTGCGTGGGGTGAGTACGTGGGGTGAGTGCGTGGGGTGAGAGGTCTCCTGCTGCTCACCACACGAGGCTCATCTTGTCGAGCTGCAGCAGCAGCAGGGGCCTTCTCTCGATGCGGGCGCCAGTCTGCACCTCGTGCTCACTATGCGCGACGACTTCACTGCTGTCAGCACCGCGCCGGGTCACGCGCACGTGTGTGCCAGGTCAAGCGCACGTGTGCGCCGGGTCACGCGCACGTGTGTGCCGGGTCAAGCGCACGTGTGTGCCGGGTCAAGCGCACGTGTGCGCCGGGTCACGCGCACGTGTGCGCCGGGTCACGCGCACGTGTGCGCCGCGCATCCATTCGAGGAGCGAGTCGTCTCATCGGGGAGCGCCGCTCTCCCGTTCATGGTGTGCGCCGCCCCGCTCGTCACGCTCCCCTTGGCGCGTGCATAGCCACTGCTGTACGCGCTCCCGTTCACGTGGCCACTACACCCGCATTGTGTGCCGCCGCCGCCGCTGGTGCCGCCAGTCCCGGTGTCGCCGCTGCCGGTGTTGGCGGCGGTGCTCAAATCCGCGCCGAATCCCAAGCCGGCACCGTGGCGCGGCGGTGGCTCGGTGCCCAACACGGCCTGCAGGGCGTCCGCCCGCTCCATGCGGAGCAGGGACTCGAGGAGGCTGCCCACGGTGACCCCGGGGTCGCGAGCCGCCGTCACCTCGAGCGCGGCCCGGGTGAGGCTGACGCCGCGCGCCGCCAGCGCGGCGACCTCGTGGCGCTCGAGGCCGCAGCGCGAGGCGAGGTGGCGCGCGGAGGCGAGCGGGGGCAGCTCCGGGTCCAGCAGCTGGGAGAGGCGGTCGCACACGTCCAGCGCGTCCAGCAGGCGCTCCAGCGGGAGAGAGAACCACGGGGAGGCTGGCGAGGGGGGCGAGGAGGAGGGGACGTTAAGAGGAGGTGGCGATGATTAAGTGGTCAGAGGAAACGAGTGGAAAGGGGAGAGGACATGGTGGTGGTGGTGGGTGGTGGGGAGCCGTGGCGCAGCGGTTAGCGCGCTGTGCTACGACCCCGGCGACCCGAGTTCGATTCCCGCTCACGGCCAACACCGGTGACGATTATCTGAACTGGTCCTGGGCCTCCCCTAGGTCGACTCGGCCTCAAGTGAGTACCTGGTGCGGTGTGTAAAAACATCGCCACTGGGGATACAAAGGCGGTCGAGCGTAATACTGGCCACCCACCCCCCTCGTGCCGGCCTTCATATGTGCTCACTAACAGCACTTTCCCCAAAGGTATGTAAGGCTATACGGGGCATCTTTGTCTTTGGTGGACAGAAGAGGTGGTGGGGCGGAAGTGTCTGTCGATGAGAAGACACAAAGAAGGTGAGCGGAAGAGGTGGTGGCGCGATGGAGCACGGCGTCGCGAGAGACGGGGACGCCTTGGGGAGGCGTTCGTGCAGCAGTGGATAGATGACGGCTGACGAGTGCTCATCTCTCACCATGTATTCGCTCTGTCAGCTCCTGTTCCCGGGTCCGCTGAGGAGGCGGCACTGGGGAGACAAACATGGACGTTTGCAGGTGCGTGTCCACGTGTACGTGTGTGTACTTGTTTTTGCAGGTATGTGTACAAGTACACAAATGCGTGTACATGTGTGTGTTCCCAGGTATATCAAGCACGTGTGTGTGCGTCTATACACGTGCACTCTGTCCCTCAAGGAAGTTGCCACCCCCTGTTGTACCATCTGTTGAGCAAGTACGAAGAGCGCTTGGGTATTTTATTTAATCAAATATTCCACGACCTCAATTCCCCATGAGTGGTGGAGCAGTTGTGGAGAGAGGAGTTGTCGTACATGCGCAGTGTGCTCATGGCCATCTATCAGTTGGGCGGCATCGTTTCACCGCCTGCATAACGCTGTGTCGAAGCTGCTACCTGGCCTGTCGCTCCATATGGAGCTCCAGGTCCTCTTGGCCACAGTCATGCCCTCTCAGCTCTACGCTTGCAAAACGTGGAGCCCTCTAAACTCTAAAGGAACATCTGCGCCATTTGGAAACATTCAGGCTGGCTTTCTCTGAATCCATCATGGGTTCAACCGGACTGGATTGTGCGAAAAGCTTATAGATCTTTGAAAGGTGTGGACACAGTACCATCAGTGAACTCCTTTGACAGGCAATATTGGTTGGGTCATGCAGCCAACATGTCCAGCCAGCGCATGTCCAAGCAGCTTCTGTTTGGCCTGATAGAGGGGGCTAAACGGGCGCGGCACGGGCTGGAAAAGAGATGGGCTGATGTCCTAAAGGGGAATATGAATCTGAGTGGACTTGTCGATGACTAGTACCAACGGTATCAAGATTGGCCGCTGTGGAAGAAGTTCGTGAGGGACACTACTGAGTAGCGGGAGGCAGTTGACCTCTAACAATGGTGGAGGGTAGACGAGTGACGCTCGCAACAACTGGCGGAGCGCCGGTCGGATAAAACGTAGCGAGCTGGCACAGTGGAGAGTACAGATGGTGCATTTTCCAGTCATCTCAGTCAGTTAACCCACGGCACCTGGGTCTGTCCCGTGATCTCCTGCCAGCAGACGTTCGACACTTCACGCGGCCTCAAGGGGCACCTAGCGTGGCACCAGCACTATGGCGCTTGATGTTGTTGTGCTCTCTTGCCTGCGTTCCTCACCTTCTCGGAGCGGCGGGGTTTGGGTGTCCAGCATGGGGCTCTGGTCCCCTGCAGACGCTTCCCCCTGTTGGGGTTTCAGGTCCCCTCCCTGCAATTCCAGGGATCCCTGCCCCCGGGTGTCCTGGGCCCCACGGGCCCCGTTGGGCGGGCGGCCCCTCCAGCAGCGAGGGCCGCGCGTCACGAGCAGCACGAGCAGCATGAAGAGCATTGACGAGAGAGCCAGACTCGCGAAGAAGAGGAGCATCGCCTCGGAGCCACCTAGCACGGGGTCACAGTGCGGGGCAGGCATCGCGGTGAGGGATACGGGTCAGAGATAGGGGTCACAGTGCGGGGCAGGGGTTATGGTCAAGTATAGGGGTCAGATTGTGGGATAGAGGTCAGAGTTAGTGATACAGATGGGGGTTAGAGATAGGGTTGAGAATATGAGCCGGGCACAGGGTTAGGGGTGCGGTTGGGGTTGGGGTTGAGGTTGGGATCAGGGTTCGGAGCTAGGTCGAGGCTGACGTGAGCAGTGTGTGACGGGTGGGACGGAGCAACACGTCGGCTGTGCTGAGTGTTCAGGGTCGAGTCGAGGGTCGCGTCAGCCTCAGAGTCAGAGTCGGCTTTGGGCTTGGGCGGAGGGCAAGGTCAGGGTCATCACCACCACCTCGTCATCTTCTCACAGGCGCAAACCTGCTGCTGCTGCTCCCTGAAGACCCGAGCTGGGTGGAGATGGAGGTGGAAGAGGAGGGGGGACTTCGATTCTCCGCGTGATGCGACCAAGCGTGAGGACCCTGGGGGTCACGGGGCGCCTGGCGGTGTCGGGCAACCCTCGGCACGTGGCCGCCTTGCTGTAGCGGCAGTGGATCGGGGAGCGCTCCCTCTTCACGCACTCGGGGTCTCGCCCCGCGCCCCCCTCGGCCCCCCGGATCAGGGAGCAATCGCAGCACCTACCGCGGCACGAGCCGTCGTGCACCTCCTGCCTGCATCGTCATCAACAATAACATCACGGACATCAACATCTTCGACGTTCATATCACCAACATTAGCATCATCAACTTAACGAAGCCAAGGTCACGGCAGGAAGTTCACTGAACGAGTGTAGACGTCACCCCCCGTCACCCCCTCCCCCTCCCCGTGACGCACCCCTCGGGGCAGCACCGCGTGTTCCTGGCGGGGCTGCAGGGCTCGGCGACTCGCTCGGGGCCCCCGCAGCGCGAGCACGGCTCGCACAGCCCCAGCCCCCCCGTGAACTCCCCCGGGCCGCAACGCTTCGTAGGGGGGCCCCCCTCCCCCTCGGGAGAGGCGTGCCCGCAGTGTTTCGTGTAGCCGAACCCTGCAGGGAGGGGGGGGGGTAGGGGGGGGTCACGAAACGGGGTTCAGGACAAGGGGAGGGTGTGCGGGAAGCCCATTTGGTCATTCCGCTGCTGGATGGACGCCTCCTCCCCGACTCCACCCAGCACCTTGCCCTACGCACGAGATTAATCCATCGCTCCATCTCCCGGTGGACGTTATCTCGGACGCCATCCTCGGCTGCCACTCCGTGATGAGTCTCCGTGATCGGCCACCATCCTCTGTAGCCGTAACGCGTCAAGCGTAAGCCCCGCAGACGGCTCAGCGCTCTGCATTCACCTGCGCGTGTTCTCGAATCCACGTGGTCCTTCTCTTTCTGTCTCTTCAAATGTTGAGTTTATTTCATGATCCCGTTCAGCACGTTTCAGTGAATGTTCAACATATTTTATCCATCCCTACGGAGGGAGTGAACACTGGTCACACGCGTGCGTCTTTCGACACATGGGCGGTGTTCCATGATCACGCTGCTGAAGCTACACGGTAGATGTCAAACGTGTGTCCTAGGTGAAGTGTCCATCCACACCTTGGGAAACGAAACATTCCATCTCCTAGGAGATTTCCCAGAGGAGATATTAAAGTAGAGCGTTCCAACTACAGCACTCCCATCTGCCTCTTTCATTATGTTCACCCCGGCCCACCTTCTCTAATTACCCACACAAAGATCCCCCGTATAGCCTTTAACAGACTGTTAGGGCAAGTGCTGTTAGCGAGCACCTATGAAGTCCGGCACGGCACTCGAGGGTGTGATTGGCTAGCACACCGCCCGGCCGCCTTTGTCTTCCCAGTGGTGATGTTTACACACCGCACCAGCTACGAATATAAAATCGTCACTGATGTTGGTGGCCGCCACCACTCCCCACACACAACTCTGCTACCTCCTTGGTGTGCCGACGACACACGTGGCCACTGTTTGAGTGAACTTACCGTGCCGTGAACTTTGCGCCGCTCCACAATGAGTGTAACACCCAACTCACCGGAGCCGACATGAGGTCATTCTGCTGCTGCTGTTGGTGATGATGATAATGATGATGGAGCGATAGATGTGGGAATAAACGTTTGGAGTCGGGGTGAGGGGCACCCGAGATGAGTAGTGGGCACGGGGGCTCTGGGTGGTCGTAATAGTAATAATACAGTTTATTCTAAAGCGCCTTTCAAATTAGCAGACTCAGCGCTGTACATCAGAGGTAGAAAACAACAGGGGACTTGGTGAAAGAGGGTGAGGGGGAGGGGTACCTGGGGAAACACCGGGACCCGTGAGAGTGGGGGTCAGGGAGAGAGGGGTGGGGGGGGTCATAGTGGACGTGGTCCCCTCGTACCGGGCGCGAGTGGCACCGCGCTGCTGCACGAGACGCAGACGATGCTGTCCCTGGCGAACTCGTGGTCCTGGCATCGCGGCCGACCCATGGCTCCAACGAGGCGCGGGGCCCCACGCGGACCCAGACGGAGGGAGGAGGGACCCCCGTCGAGGGGATCTATCCGTCGGCTCGAACCCCGGAGAGCCGAGCCTGCATCGGAAGCTCTCTCACGCGAAGGGACGAGGATGACGGAAACTCCGGCGGCGAAGTCTGCGCACAGCGCGGGTGGATCGCTTTAGTGAGCGGCGTCACGGGGCTGCTCGTCCAGGAGGGGACTGGCGCAAGGGTTGCGACACGTGCACCACGCCGCGGTGGGGCCGTGGCGTCACGGCCCAGGGTGTTGATAGTCCAAGAGAGAAACGCCCCGGACGCGAGCCTTTCCCGGAATGCCTCCAGCGCTGCTGCTGGCCGCGTCTGAGCGACGGTGTGACCGTGCGTGCGAGCGAGCGAGCACGGCCAGGGTATTCACCGAGTGAGTCAGAGACGTGGGAGGTGAATGAGGTCCAGTGTTCATGCGCGGGCGGGTGCGATGTGTCTTGTTTATGTGGGAGGCGGTTATTGCGCCGCGCTGACCGCTGCGCTGCGAATCCGGCAGAGACCCGAGCTCGATTCCCGCTCACGGTCAACACGAGTGACGATTATCTGAACCGGTCCTGGGCCTCCCCAAGATCGACCCGGCCTTAAATGAGTACCTGGTGCGGTGTGTAAATATCGTCACTTGGGAGACAAAGGCGGCCGGGCGTGATGCTGGCCACCCACCCCCTTGTGTGCCGTGTCGGCCTTCATAAGTGCTCGCTAACAACAGTTTTCCCAACGTACGGATGATCTTTGTCTTTGTAGTGTTCACGAGTGATGTGTGTTCACAGGGGCTACGTTGACCTCGCGTTAACCCCGAAAGTGCAAGACTGTCGCCTTTATTCCGTCAACAAAAATACAGTTCAGTAATTATGTACAGAATTCGCTCAACGCATCGCCACCACCTCCAGGTTCGAGGCACGGCCCACGTGCTCTGTAAACGGCGAGCTGCGGTTTCTCAGCTGACTCAACCTCTCCGATGTGCTTGCGCCGCGTCGGCAGTGTTGCTGTTCGGCAAGTTGTCCGACGTTTCGCGCAACGATATCGAGGCTGGCATATATCAACCACCGGGCAGTGGCCGTGCTGCTGCTTTGCTAGTTCCTGGGCACGGGGCTGTTCGGAAGGGTCTCCCCGCTTTCGGGGAACCTGGAACGTTGGTCCAATGGTTCCAAACGCACTCCAGCGTAGGTGCTTTCAAATACCACTTGTCCCAACAGCCTGTTCAAGGCTATACGGGAGATATGTGTCTGTATGTGTTTGATGAGGGCCAGGATCACTGTTCTCCACAGTGACAGAGTCCTAAAGAGGGGGCAGGCTGAGATCTGAACACGGGCAGCCGTGGGGGGGGAGCGGGAGGGGAGGCAGCCTCGTCCAGTGGGTGAGACTCGCGGGGAGGACTGCCCCTGCTGCTGCCGCCAACCAGAAGCAACGATCCGCGTCCCAGTCGCTCGCCCCGACATCCACGGGGGTAGCCTGAGGAGAGGGGGCAGCTGCTGCTGCCGCAATGTGGCTTCGGTTAATTCACATCCAGCGGAAACGGCTTCCGTGGCGCACCGAGGTTGGCGCGCCGGGTTTTCCCGACAGCCCGACGTCACGGAAAATCCGTGAAAGTCGCGCTTCAGAAAAACAATGAAACCCGAAGAGCGGCGGCGGCTGTGGGAGAAGAGAACCTCGACAACGACGACCCGGCATGACGCTCCCGTCAGCGCCGTCGCAGCAGCAACAATATCAGCAGAGGCGGCGCGCCGCCGGGTGTCTCAAGGGGTCAGGGCGCCGAGCCGCCGAGGTCCCCCTGGTCAGCGACCACTCGGCGAAGCTCCGAGCGCGGCGCTCACCAACGACTCGACACGACCCCCCCCCCCCCCATCTCATTAGTTTGTTCTGCACTTGCTTTGGATAGTCCAACCCTGAGAATGAATTTATCGGCATGACCGTCACGCGGTGATTATTCCTCTCCCAGGTGGGCGGGCGGGAAGTGCTGCAATCTCCCGTGTGGACCAGAGAGCGGTGAAACTCAAACTATATTTAAACTATTTGTATTTTATCAGGGAAGGCCCACTGAGCTATGGAGCTTTTTCAGAAGAGATATGGCCACAAATGATAGCTCAACGAAGTGGCTTATCGTGTGGAAATGTATAGCAGCAAAATAAAATAGAATCCAGCAGTTCTTGACCTGGAATGCAGCATGCACCCCTTGTGTTCTCATTCGTTAAGTAAACTGTTGATAAACATAACGCTTTGATGAAACAAAGTAGTTGTATTTCAATTTAAAGCTTTCGTGACTGCAGGGATTCATCTTCTTGATTATTTCGGTAAAGTCACGTAGAAGGGAAATAATAAAACATAAAAAAATACAATTCTCACGAGGTTTCAGCCACAACGCAAGCAGCCGTCCTCTTTCCGACAGCCCTGTTCTTCACCTGACGGCTGCTTACGTTGTGGCCGAAACGTCGTGAGAATTGTTTAATTTTTTTATTATTTTATTATTTCCCTTCTACGTGACTTTACCGAAAGAACCAAGAAAGTAGTTGTACTTACGTACCCTTGCTTAATTTGTTTTCGATTTACCTTCTAAAGAAGAATCTGGCCCCGTCTCGCACCCCCAGAAAGGGCATCTCGCATCCCCAGGGGGTGCACCCCAGGTCAAGAACCACTGCTCGAAGAATGTGGAGGGGAAACCCCGCGATCACGGGGAGAACAAATTCCAAATGTATAGGCGACGAGGGTGGGGATCAAACTCATAACCTCCTGCACACCAGACGTGGGAGTCACCATATCGCCACCGCGGCACAATTGAAGAAGGGACGATCTGAACGGGAAGCGGTGATATCTGCTTCCTTGGGCCGTTCTCCAACACGGAGGCGGCTCGCGCTGCTCTCTTGAGATTTCCCAACGGGGGTTGGTCGCGCCGTGACGACGCCGACAGTGCGACTGGGGTAAGCGAGAGCGGTGTCGCGAATTCAAGATACAACGGGCGGGGGTCATCGCGCCACGTCACTTCTCGGAGGCGCGTTAAACCGCGCCACGACCATAGATCGTTTCACATTCGTGTTGGGCAACATTGGTGCATGCGACCCGTGCAGCCACTCGAGGCGATACATGCACCACGTCAACAAAACACAAACCCAGGTTGAACCGCGACACCCGAATGGTGACTCGGGGCTTCATTTCTCACCCGAGACTTTCCGGGTCCCTGCCAGAGGAGCAGCAGCACGTGACTGGTAACCAGGGCCCATAACGACAGCTCCACTGGACGCGGTGCACCAGGTGCACTAGCATATTCCGGGTCGCCGACCCAAACAGACCCCAGCTGAAGTTGATCCCCGAGTGAGTCTCGACAAGTCGATAGTTCTCTTTGTTGCACCTATGGGTCTCGAAATCTATGGACCTCCGTGCGAGTCGAAGGGAGTCCGTGTCAGTCCTTCAGTCACTTTCTACAGTTTCGTTTCTCATCAAATATATTTTTGGAGTCGCTGGTAGACAGTAGGTTACACGTGATGAGTAGGAACAGCCAAAGTAACTCGAGGTATACGAGATGTGGAATGCCAGGTAAGAAAATAGACCCGGCTGACATTTGGCACCAGTGCTGAGCGATAGAATTGTTTAGATTGGACTGTGCGCGATTCATGAAACATGCACGTGTAATACACAGTGTTTATTAAAAGTCGCGAAATTGTCATTTGCGTAATTAGAAAAAAAGAATACTACTACGCTACTCAAGACGGCGTACAGTATTTACAAGTAGCTCTGCTCTGCTGGTCCTGCGAGAAATTCTTCATGAACTTCCCAGGATACATCCCGATGTAGTTGTACGTCGGGAGGTGGCGACCTTCTTTCACAACCAAAACATTCAAGCATCGAAACCGGTTCCCTCGCCAAAAACAAAACGGTGACAGCAAGGAGGTCCCCCTCCTCCTCGGAGCCGGTGCACGGGCTCAGAGTTCATGGTAGCGACGTCGATCGCACCAGATGCAGTATCCTCCACCTGGTCTCATCGGGGAGCAAAACCATCGTGTCGCTCACTCAGAACCACTCGCGCTCAGCGCCGCTCACTCACAGGGCCGCTCATTCGTACCGCCGCTCTCTCACAGGGGTACTCAATCACAGCACCATCATTGTACTTGAGGCTTGGTCAGGCCCAGCTGTGGGGGGGTTTTATTGCACCGACTCCCCAGGGCTGCCCTGGGACTCGCTGGTGCTGTATCTGCCCTGGCTGCCCCTGGGGCTAGTAGTCGTGATTGGTGCAATTGCATTTAGATGCTGGATAACTTCCAAGTGTTGAATCTGCTATTGTTTTGGCGGTGTCACAGGTTGGTGGAGGTCACAGGGGAGGTCACACGGGATGTCACACGGGAGGTCGAGGGAGGTCGAAGGAGGTCGCGCAGGGTCACTTGAGGCCCAGTTTCTTCTTCTCTTTGTTCTTCTTGCGCACGATGTCCATGTTGCGGTCACGCCACGTGCTCTTGCGCAGCTTGATCGGCCGACTGCCCACGTACTTCCCTGCATCGACGCAGCAGAGGCAAATACAAAGATCCCCGATATAGCCTTTAACAGACTGTTAAGGCAAGTGCTGTTAGCAAGTAGCACCTATGAAGGCCGGCACGGTACACGTTGAGGTGGGTGGCCAACACCACGCTCGGCCGTCTTTGTCTTCCTCCCTGGTGCTTATGTTTACACTCTAAACCAGGTACTCATTTAAGAATAAGTAGACCGAAAGTGGGGAGGCCAAGGGCTGGTTCAGATGTTCGTCACCGATATTGGCCGTGAGTGCAAGAGACCGTGTGAGCGAGCGAGAGACCGTGGGAGCGAGCGTGTGAGAGCGTGAGCCAGCGTGTGAGTGTGAACGAGTGTGCGAGCGAGCGTTTGAGTGTGAGCGTGCGAGCGTGTGAGCGAGCAGGCACCATTCATCTCCCGCATGGCGCGCACGAAGTCGTTGGGGTCTTTGAAGCTGACGAAGCCGTAGCCCTTGGTCTTGCCCGAGCGCTTGTCGCGCACCACCTTGGCACGCAGGAACGTGGGGTAGCGCGAGAATGCGCGCGCCAGTGTGTCGTCGCTCACTTCGTTACCCAGGTCTCCACAGAAGATGCGGAAATCATCTGCGAGCGGCGGAAACACGCGGGGGAGAGGGGGTGTGAGGTGGCCAAATGGCTCGGGGGGGG